ACCGGCGCGATCGCCTCGATCGTTTCATAACCATGTCATACAATTAACATTTCCGTACGGCATTTCGAGGATCAAAGACCCCCGCATCAACAAGCCTCGAGATGGTACCCGATCACGAGGACCTCTGTCGAGAAGAAGATAGGCTCTAAGGAGCCATTGATATATTACAAGCCTCGAGGTGGTACCCGATCTCGAGGACCTCTGTCAAAAAGAAGATAAGCTCTAAAACCTACTCATATGGGCTTGACCTCGAGGTGCCCTACCTCGAGGATTTCTGCTATTGCAAGTGCGAGTCATTTACCCGATGCCCTCGAGCTACCTGAGCCCAAGCCGATTTTCGCTCGAAAACTACTAATAAAACCTTAGGGCTATTTCTTGTCTTCGGGTCAAGTTAAACGTCCTCTCGGTTACTTTAATCCAGGGGCTATCCGAATCCGGGCGAACCCTCGTCCGGGATCTATCTGTAATGCCTTAAGGTTATCTTCGCACTAAGTTCAAAACAAGTTTTCAGGACACCCGAGCTTGAGCGAACTCTCACTCGGGGACTGCTTTCGAAAGCCTAAAGGCTATCTTTATTCTCAGACGTCCAAGTAGGTTCCTCCTCGGGGACTATTGACGGGGTCTGAAAGGCTAAGTTTTGTTCTGTAAATTCGAAGCCCTATTCTCATTCGGAGGTCCCGGTGGCCTAAGCTTATATCAATCCAACTCGGGCTCAGTCCGAGGAATGACAAAGGGCTCTACGGGATATCGTATTAACCAATCAGGAGCCGGGGAAATACCTACACTCGGGCCCGATATTCGGACCGATCGGTAAAGTCATGCATTCAGATTCTTCACAAACGCAAATAAAGGGAAATCCAACATAAATCAAAAACAAATTGAAGAAACCTCTTTGCATTAATAAACGATGATTACAAAAAACCCATGAAGGGACCGTACACATGACTACAAAAGCTCACAAAGGGTCCTTACACAGAAACAAAGAAGCAAAAGTAACAGCTAAAAGTCTAATCTGCTCTCGAGGGTACATCTTCGGGAGCAATGCCTTCGAGAATCATTTCGTCAGGGCTCTACCTCGACCTTCCAATCGGCGTCTTCAAAGATGAGGAAGAAGCAGAAAAAGATGAAGAGGGGGCCATAGCTCGCCAAAAAGTAGAAGCTCTTAGCAGGCCGAGAAAATTGCAGCCCGATAGAGGACTTGGCGAGTGTAGGCCTTACCGGCACGGCTACTTTGAGTCCACTTCTTGGAACATTGTGCCATGCAGGTTAGTAGCTGGTAGCGCTACCTCACTCCACGGAAAGCAAAAGGGGTGAAGTGCCACACCAAGCCGAAGTAGGGAGGTGAGCAGCTGTGTAAAGTTCGAACATCCTCCGGAGCAGCAGTGTAAAGTTCGAATATCTTCCTAAGTAGGAGGAAATCCGATGCCCCCCCCCTCATCATCTCGAGCCAACGACGACAGCAGTAACAACAACAACAACAACAACAAACCAATATGATCCCACTCAGTAGGGGAAAGCTCTGAAAAAGAGCCACAACACCACTGGCAAGAACACTGTCGTATGACCTTGCGGCCACAGGCTTTAAACATGAGAAATAAAATTGGATGAAGATGAAGAGAAGTAAGAAGCCAAAGGCTATTGAAAAATGATTGAATGAAGTTTTGATTCAAGAAAGCTTCCATTTATAGAAAGGAGGAAGCGTAACCAACAGCGGAATCAATGCCTCTGGGAAACATGCCGACGGCACAATCAATGTCTTGGGAGAACGGATCGACAGATGCAATTAATGCGTTTTGGGAAACGGACCAGCGGCGATATCATTGCTTTGGAGAATGTAAACCGACGGTACATTCAATGGTTCTGGAAATATGAACCCATGGGGCGCTTTAGTTATCATGAAGGCTTACATCATAAGCATGACATCATTGCAAGAGGCTCTAGGAGATCAGTGTCAAAATTATTTCTTATCATTTTAATCTAAGAAACACGGGGACTATCTATATACGGTAAAAACCAGTAGTCCGATTTCACGATCACTAAGGCGCCTCATAAAGATCGCCCCCAGAAGGCTCGAAGTTCGGCTCCGGTTTCGACCCCGAGGGTTCTCAACGATCGACCTCGAGGCAGTGCAAACCAACGGCTACAACGCACTAGCGGGAAGTTCCCAAGGCACATGATTAAAAGCTGACCTAGCCTACTAGGCTAGTTCAGGCCAGCACAGTGGCATTAAATGGCTATGCCAACCTTATTTCTTTTCAAAAAATGCATTTTGTACCATGTTAAGATTCCCCTCATCTATAAAGGGGACCCTTGTCATTTTGTAAAGATCATCTGATACGCAATATTGAATAAACAAGAACATTCTCTCTGCTCTCTAACTCAACATATTCTCTTGATTTCATCGCTTACATTCATTGCTTATATTCACAGTGTTCTATTTATTGTTCTTCATTTACTGCTCATTTATTGATCATAAAGAGCCGCCCACGTAGCGATAATAGTTGTTACTCCTTCATCGACCGTCCTTGGTCGGGCGTCCGACTCGACTTCGAGGCCCCGATTTCCAGTAACTCGGTTCGATTATTACATTATCTACGATCTATCACCTTAATTTCTAATCCTTCACTATGCATCTATTGCCTAACAACTAGCATAAAAACAGATCACGTATTTTTAGAACCACAAAATCAAATCTAATTGTTATTACCATTTTCAAGGTAAACATATATTCTCACTGCAAATGTTCCTCTTAGAATAAGCCCTAGAAGGGAAAAGTCTATGATACACTTAAAGCATATAGACAAATCGGTTTCAAATAAAAGTCTTGATAAAGAAGATGAGCAAATGATCAAAATGATCATAATAAGAAGGCAAGTGATCTAGAAGATCACATGACATAACACTTCATAAAATCTCATGAGAGATTCAGGCACTTGAATATATGAATGAAGATATCTCTATGTTATGTCTTTATGAAAAATAAGGAGGTTGGAACCGATATAAAATGTTCGTCGACGACATTTATGATAGCGCTAAATATATATGAGGACCTTAAGTCTGAAGAAACGATTCAAGTAGAATTGGTTTCATATGAAAGACATGTAGTTTTGGACCTGCAATTCAAACACTTGAAATATAAAGTCAATGGTGTGTGCAATCACCTTTATCTATCTTATATGTCTAGCATGACATGAAAACTTTTGATGTAAATCTAAAGTCCATTTATATGGCTTATATAACTTAACTTATATGACAATCCCTAAAGGATTTAAATTGCTTAAAGCATATAAAATTCTTGGTCATGAAGTACTACATCCTAAGTGCAATTTGTGCACATATGTATCTTGCTATAACTATAAGCATGATAATGTGATAGCAAGAATACCTCTATTGAAAAGGCTATTCCACGACATTATATGAAGATATTACATATCTATCAAGAATGATGATTTCAAGGTGCAACATATTCATTCAAGTTAATATGGCTGATTGTTTATCAAATCTCTACCAAGGATCTTTTGAAGATGGTGCACAAGATTGGAATATGTTCTCATTAGGGAGAGTTAATACGTGTTTTACTCTTTTTCCCTTACAAGGTTTTGTCCCACTGGGTTTTCCTTGCAAGGTTTTTAACGAGACAACCAAAACGCATATTGTTAGATATGTGTAATCTTTTTCCTTCACTAGAATTGTTTTCCTACTGGGTTTTATTTTAGTTAAGGTTTTAACGAGGCAAATTATCTGTTGAATAGACATTCAAGGGGGGTGTTATAAATAGAATTTTATTTAAGGTGAATGTCTATATTTTAGAGGGATTGTAGAGATTTTACTTGGTGGCTAAGCCACTATTTCCCTATAAATAGAGGGGTCTTATTCCATTGTAATTCATTCCAAATCAATAAGAATTCTCTCTCTATTTTTATCTGCAATACTCTTCTTCTTCTTCTGTTACTGTTTATAACAAGGTGTGACTGTATACTTCAAGCGGTGACTAGACATTAATTAGCGGCTCAAAAATTAGACAGTTCACGCCGTTTACCTACGATGGAAATAAACAACCAGTTCAACTATTATGGTATTCTCAGTGGCCCAAGCTATAAGATCCGACAGAGGGTAACTACTGGAAAATGTTAGACCCACGATGAAATGAGTTTTAAAAAGAGTTCATGAAGAAGATGGTGAGAGACGAGTAACTTCAGCCTTGCCAATGGTCAAGTCTCTGTTTTCTGCTGGTAGTGATTCGCCGTTTACTAAGTAACTGTAATCCATCATTGTATAATTATGAAATTGAACAAGGATCATTTGTTATAGACCTTAGTGGCCACTTGTGCATTTTTCTTTTTAAAGTATAAGCATTTGAACAGAAAAAAACTTACTTGCATCTAACATTTTTCCTGAATGGTATGTGCGCCAAATAATTGAATGCAAGACATATCTTGTATATAAGACTTTACTATGGTCAAAAGAATATTTTTCCCTTGTGAGGGGAGAGGGGGTGCAGAGGGTGGGGAAGGGATGAGAGGGTTGAAATCATCAGTTGGAGAGTTCGGGGAACTATTTTTCCCTTGTCATAGGGATGTCACTCCTAGAAATTAAGGAATATATTTTTCAAAATATTTAATCCAATGAAATTGAACCTAAACACAACCCTTATTTGTGGTGTGCAAAAGACTTTTACGGTCAGTAGTGCAAATTCGAATTAATTAAGACAATAACCCTAAAGCCGCAATTTCGCCTATACATACCCAATTAAATACAGTAATTAATTAGATGTAACAACCACCCTTTCTCCCCAAACAAACTCAACTTTGACAATTATGGAAATCTTACTTCATGGGAGACCATCAATAACAATTTTTGGCTGGGTAAACAACTAAATGTAGCAGGTGTGAGTTGAAGACATTTCTTTCATGCATACCACTTCTACTTCAAACATGAAACGTGTAGACCACAACTCATCATTAGAAAAAGGGGTACCCCTTCCTTCACACCTCATCCCCAACAACACCAAACACATATTTGTCTCAGAACAGCAATAGACCACTACTCTCCTGTCATAGATAGACAAATCATTGCTTCATCCATACTCTTTCCTCAACCATGAAAGTGAAAGCATTAGGTCCCTTCAAATGCAAGCTTGTCAATCCATTCAAGAAAATACTTAGGCTTTTCAAGTTCAGACTCAGAAAGCCCCTCTTTATAAGTAGACTTAGGTTTCGTCCTTCACTACACCAAACTGATAGAAGGAACCCATCTTCACAGATTCTGTCAGTTTTTCGTTCTCTAAGAAGAAGAGGGAGAGAGGACGACCAAGTCATGGAGCTCAAGAGTTTCTCAGAAGTAGAACATCACAAAGCACCCTTTCCCTCACCCCTCACCCCAGCTTACGTTAGATTGAGTACAGCCACTAAAAAAGAAACATCAGTTCAGGATGATGTAGAAGATGCATGCACAAGCTTTGAGAATTATCTGGTGGAAATGATTGTGGAAGAAGGAAAAATGAGGGACTTGGCGGATGTGGAAGAATTGTTATACTGTTGGAAGAATCTCAAAAGCCCCGTCTTCATTGACCTGGTGTGCAGATTCTATGGAGAGCTATGCAGGGATTTGTTTTCGAATAGCTATGAGGACGACATTAACATTCTAAAGTGACTTATAATAAAATTGCTTTATCTTATCGTTTGAGCCCAACTTATGTCTTTACAGCCCTTTCTATGTCTGTATTTGCAGATCTGTAACAGCAGTAGCAAAAAGCAGCAAGCCCAACATGCAGGGGATTTAAAAAGTTCATCACATACATTATTTCAATCACATTCATGACCACCACTACACCTTTTCCTCAAAACAGCCCCCACAGCTAATTACTAACAACAACAAACCCAGTGTAATCTCATAAGTGGGGTCTGGGGAGAGCAGTGTGTACGCAGACCTTACCCCTACCTTATAAAAATAGAGAGGCAAGAAAAAAATTGCAGCTTTTTTCTTCTCTTTTTTTGGCAAAATATAAATACAGTAGTGGCAATGCAAATATCATCAGCATAATGGAACACGCAGAAACTTAAAAGATTGTTCCTCTTTTTTTTCCGTTGAATAGACATTCACCAATCTAGTTGTTAGTTATGAAGAGAAACTAAGTATGATGAAACTCTCGATTATAGGACAGTTGTGCTAACTGTTGCCCTGTCGCTTAGAGTACTAGACAAACACATCGATATTGAAAAGTAAAGATTAAAGTTATCTCAAATTTCTTAAATTAAGACCACAAGCTGCAATGACGAGAGGTGCAGATTAAAATGTAAGATGATCAAGCAAACTAATTAAATACGGAGTATTATATTTACACTTCAAACTTCAAAGGCAAGGAACTGCTTATAACAGTATGGGGATATAGGAAGGCAATACCTCAAAGATACAAGCTGAAGGATCTATCTGTGAGTACATACCCATTTTTCTGCGAGCTGCAACTGCTAAGAGCAATCCCCAGTAAAACTGACAAAACATCAAAAGATTTTTCCTAGAGTTCAGGTCAGCAACGTAACAGTACTTTCTCCTAATGCATACGACTATCACTCATCCATATTCGAGAGATAAACTCGAGACCTAATAACTGTGTTCCCAATTAGGAACCCAGGCATGACCATAAGTTCAACTCTACATTTCTCATGCCCAAGATTGAGCACAACATCTTTGTTAAACTCCTCCACACTCTCCATATACATATTGGAGAAATGACTTCCTCTCTTCACTCTAAATATTTCACCTCTAGGTTCAACTGAAGCTGCAGCAGCCTGCAGAATCCAGACACATCTTGCCATTTTCACAAATGCTCGATAGAATGGTGTCTGGGGATGCATCCCGTTGCTTACTAATGTCCTATGGTCGACATTACCAAAGAAAGATTTTTCCATCATAGGATGAACTATGGACAGATACTTTTCTCTGCAGAATTGGGCAAAAGCAGATTCTGTATCTATAATCAGGGCATCGATTGGATCATCGAGCTTCATAATTCTGTCGACATTGCAAGATTGATGCGAGAATTCATTGAACATCCTCCTAGCAATATAAGCTTCAAAAGCATATTTCTTGTGCGACCTCTTCGAATACACAACGGACCTTTCAATTGCCTCGGCTGCTTTGTCTAGATCCCAGCCTGAGACTTTCATCAAGGCAATTAATGGCTTGGAAAAATCATGGACAGCCTTTGACACAGCTTCAACAGTGGCCTCAAAGGAAGTGAAACTCAGCATTCTCGAACTCTCCTTTACACTCTTGTTCAAAATTTCAGCCATCTTCCTGTTCCTCAACTCCAAATCATGAAGCTCTTGTCGAAAATTAACAACCTTGGACTCCTTAATCTTAAGTTGGGATTTCAACTTGTCCAGAAGTCTCTCTTTAACTTGAATTTCTGCAAGCAAGAGAGCTGAAGTGGCTGAGAACGAGTTCAAATCCTTCAACTGCCGCTCTTTGTATGATCGCTTAATCTTGCACAGCGACTCAAGCTGAGAGACAATAACTTCATCAGCAGCTCTTATATTATCAGGATCATAAGGAATGTGAGCTTGTTGGAGCTGAACATAAGCTACTTTCAATGCTGAAACAGTGTCAAACAATTTCAAGATTTGGTCAATCCGACCAGATCTTTTAGCATCACTCGGAAGATCAACTTTAATAGCATCACATCCAGCTTCCTCACTACTGCTTTCTTCAACCACTTTGGGAAAGTTGTTGTCATTATTCAGGTACAGTTCATGTTGATTATTGTCAAGGTTTTCGGAAGTGAAGACCCCAATGGACCTAAATTTACAAACTTTGGCAAATTTGGAGACGATTTCAGAAATGTTTGAAGATGGTTTAGCTGCAGATTTCATTCCCTCACCCATTTTGAGATTTTGATTAAAAGATCTAATCCAATGACACAGTTAGAATATGAGAAAAGATGATTGTACCAAAGTGGTAAACAAGAACCAAGATTCCCGCTGAAATAAATATGCTTATTATTAGAATAGACACCGGGAATTAAGGGTTCAAAGTTTCATTAAATTAAAACAAATCAAGATTCTATTTTTGTGAAACAGGAATTTAGAACAACGCTTAAACCTTAAAATAATCAACAGGAACTGTAGGCCTTGAAGTTAAGGTCACACCAAGCAATCAAAAACAAAAAAAGAAAAAGAATTAAAGATTTTTGGAGATTTCTAATAGCAAAAACACTTACCCCACAGGAAAGAAATGCTAAACAGGTGCAACAAAGTAAAAAAGTAGACACTGATGGCTACTTTACGACGTCGTTACATACAACAGTTTTCAACTAGGGGCTCAGTTGGACATGGACAAGATATTCAGCTTAGACAAAAAACAAATCCAGCTTTTTACACTCCATACCATGAGTAAGAGAGATGGATATGGGTTTTTGGAAGAAGAAAAAGGAAGCTGAGAAAATGGTGGGGTGATGATTTCTAGGGACAAAGGAATCTTCAAGTCTGTACTCTGTAGTCGGTACTCGCAGAGGGCTAGCACTGAATTGAGTTGTAGAGTTTGAATTCTTTAATTCGTTGCTGGCTTTCTTACAAGTCCCTCAATTTTGACAAAATTATATTATCCCTCAACTTCTGTTTGAAAACTAATCTAGTTTTGGCTTGATTCGAGGAAACAAATATGGTTCTTATCGGGACTAGGAAGGAGCAATTTGGCTCCCACAATAGAAATTACAATAGAACCGTAAAATATAGGGTGGGTAGTTTGGATTGGATATAAAATTTTCGGATTGAAAAAATAACATTTAAATCCATTGAGCCTATAAATTGAGATATTTATTTTTCCTACAATAATAAATATCCAAATGAAGTATTTATTTGAACTGCATAAAAGTTTATTAAGTTCATTATCCAAATAAAGTATCATCATTGAGGAAATCCAACAGAGACACTAATAAGGCCGATTAAAATTATCAATAATATTTACCCTCAAAATCGGATAACAATTGAATTGTAAGTGGTTTTAAGAATATACGGATTAGCTTGACACAAAGCGATAAATTAAGTTACAATTGAAATAAACAATAATAAAGTAAATTCAAACCACACGAATTAAACAATTACAGCCTTGGAAGGTCATTCATACTCAAACTGGATGCACTTTGATCAGTATCAAGATACAGAAGAATAAGGGCTTCAAGAGAGAAATAATAATGTATTGCTTTGGAATGCGTGTTACCCTTCCCAAATGAATTATCAGACCCCCTTTATATAGTAGAGGAAACCTACTTTAGGTACAATTCTACAAAAGGTAAAAATCTCTTGATTTGCCGATTGCTGGTTCCTTATTGATACGTGCCAAGATTCCCGCCGCAATATTCGACCGGTCAGGGATATTTCGGTCTTTTGTTGGCTATGCTATCAATGTTTCTTCGAGCTCGTTCAGGGCCAGGGTCGATTCTAGGATCATGGCCTCGATATTGTCGAAGGCTCCCATCCTGACCTCGGGTTCTAGCCCGGTGGGACTTGGGGTCGATCTTTAGTCCTTCATTGCCATGTTCTGAGCCTGACCTACCATGTCGTAGGTGAGCTCGATTTCGACTTTATACAAATAGTTCCCTCATTTTTTGGAGAGTAGACGACGAGAAACGACATGAGCTTCCGATTCTAACTTTGATATCCCGCGACAGAAACGACAAAACAAAAGACACGTCTTGTCAGTCAAGTCTTAGTGGCATTGAATGCATGTCACCCGTCGGTTGACCATTTATGGATGTGAACCGCCGCTGAAATACTATAAATACCACTTCCTTTGTTCATTCCAACTTTACATCCAAACCTTCTACCCTCGTACCTTAGAAATCTCAATACTTTCTGGCACTTATATCCTCGTTTTTTGAGATCTTTTATAAGAACTTTTGTTCGTCTTCATCCCAAACCATCAAGTTTACTCCTTTAACTTCCTCTTTTTCACCATTTTTTCTCCATTTTCAAAGAAAATGGTGAAGACTTCAAAATCGTTCCCTAAAAAAACTCTTTCTACCCCGCGGTCGGCTATCGAGGAGACCGTTTCGCGTACTCCTGTCGAAGAACCAGTACCGGAACCTCCATTAAAAATGTTCGTCCCTAAAGGATGCTCGGTAATCGCCGATTTCAAGGTTGAAAAACCTTCCCCCGTACAAGGCCAGTGTGAGGAGGTCCCGTGATACATATGCTCGATCACTGAAGAAGTCCTCCCCAAGGTCAAAAAGGATTGCAATTGGGTTGACAAGTACGTGGTGGTTCCCAGTCCTGATGAAGATATCACCACCCACGTCGAGGGATACTTAAGTGTTTACACTTATCCCTTTACACTAGGCCCATTGGATCCGGTCATCATCTACTTCTGCAAAAGATACGAGGTATGCCTCGGTCTAATTCAACCTTCATTCTGGAGGATCGTGATCCTTCTTTGATTTTTCGTGAGTAAGATCGATGGATTCTCGTTCACCCTTGACCACCTCATGCGCTATACTTTCCCTGAATTTTCCGAGGGGGAGGGGGGACTGATCAAGCTCGCGCGTCGGGCTAGTAAAGCCCTGTTCTCGAGTACTGATGAAGATCGGTATCGAGGCTAGCTAAGTCGTTTTGTCCGAGTGAGGACTTCAGACTTGATCTCAGCTGAGCACATGTTGTTCCCCGAGAAGTGGAATATATCACATAAGTAAAATTTCGTTTTCAAAATTTTATTTTACGCTTTTCTCCTTCTTTCTTATCGGTGCTTTCTAGTGATGCAGCTGTTCCTCGGGTCCCGAATGCAGTCCCTCAACTTAAGGAGTGGGTCGAGGGCATCGTGTTATAAAGGCCATATTCCGAGCGCTCATGGTGCGTACTTTCGAAGGGCCCGTGGGAGGCCCGTTCCCATGGTGAGATTACCTTCCCCAAGTGAGCAATATTTGGGTTCTTCTCGTGTCAATAAGTTCTCACTTGTTTCATTTCCTTTTGCAGGTTTATCCAAGGATGTCACACTAAGGCCTCCATCTGGTGGCAAAAACTTCCCCGCCGAGTCTCCTGCTCCGAGACAACGTGATGAGAAGAAAAGGAAAAGGGCTCCACTCCGAACTCAGAAAAGAAGAAACCAAGGAGAAGGCTGGTGCGCAAATCAAAGAAAGTACAAGCGCTCGAGCACCATCTTCGGGTTCGCTATATCGGTTGAGGAATGAATCTGAAGAAGAAGAAGAAGAAGAAGAAGAAGGCTTTGATCATATGGCCCACGTGTCGTCGTAACCCGAAGGGCAAAGGGCCTCCGAACCGGAGAGAGCCGAGGTCGATCTGCCTCAAGTTAGGGAGGCCGATGAGGAGGCTGGGGTCGAGGCTTCCTGGGACGCAGGCAATGCCCCAATAGAAGTTCACGGTGTGATAGATTTCATTAAGTCGCCTTCGTTCATTGAGTCCATCTATAACGAGGCTCAGACGGTGAAAGAACGTCTGAACGAGGGGGATCCTAGGGCGGACGACCCCTTCCGTGGCTTTTTTGATGGCGCGGATTCTACCGCCACGGAAGATGTCACCCGATTGGGTACTTAGAGGTGTCGAAGAAGATTCCATCTTCGGGGACAAACGGGCCTTCCTCAAGCCAGAAACTAATCAATTGGTTCCCAGCTCCGAGTATTCATTCTGACCGGAAGTGATTGATCGTCATCTCCATTCCAGAGGATGCCTGGGTCCTCTCTGCCCTAGTAGGGGTGGCCAGCTACCTTCGTGTCTGGTGACCGAGGAAGATCAAGCCAAGATGAACGAGGTGAACGCAACCTTCCTGTTCAACGAAGCACAACAGGCGCTAAATCGGGTAACTTCAGATACCTCTTGATGACTTCTTAATTTGTACTTAGACTAATTAATAGATTCCTAACATTTTTCTTTGTATCTATGGGCCTCGGTGCTTCATCATGAGACTTTTCTCCGATATCGGGATGAGCTGAACCAACTTGAGGCCGAGGTCCGAGGGCTCACTGAGAAGAGAGATACTTACAAACTTCTCAGCAAGCAACGTGAAGGGGAGGCTAAGAGCCTCCGAGCTGAGCTAGAGGTGACTCAAAAGGAGCACGCCGACTTGGTCGAGTAGGTAAAAATATTTGAGGTTAGTGACGATGAGAGACTCGGTGACTGATGGTCGGAATCTGCAGGTCCAACAAAAGAACATTCGGATCAACCAGCTCCGAGCTGAGATAGATGCCGTCAAGGCTGAGACCGGCGAATGGAGAGGCATGATGGACTATCTGGCCTCGGAAAAAGAGGCTGCTCGGGTGCAGCTTACTTCGGCTGAGATCCATCTTCGTGAGGCAAAGGAAAAGGCCGTGGTGTAGGCCAAAAAGGTTGAGGAGCTCTATTCTTAGCTAAGTTCGGCCGTCTCTGATCGAGAAACTCTAGCCAAGGAGCTTGAAACGGCCAAGTCGGTGGTCGTGGTTGTTAAAGCAGATGCCGACAAGATGGTGGCCCAATGTAAGGCCGATGTCAAGGCGGCCTAGGATCGAACGAAGGATATCGTCGAGCATGTGAAGCGGCAATCCCAAAGGGAGGCCCTCGAGGAAATTCATGCTCGGGGTTTCGACTTGTCGGCCGAAATTAAAAGTTCTAAGGGGCTCAAAGCCGAGGTCAAGAAGTTGGCTTATCCCGAGGATAAAGAAGACTTCGAAGGTTCGAGTGGATCTGAGGGTGGAGGAGACTCTGAAGACCCTAGCGACGAGGCGGGCTCCGGTGAAGACCAATCCGTTTAAGTGCCTTGTACATTTTTCTTTATTTTTTGTATTTTTGTACCAGTGTACTTTTGTACTTTTTGTCAAGGCCATTTGGCCTTTGTAAAGACTATATGTATATATAATACAAGGCTTCTTTTTCCTTTCGATAATCTCTGAGTTTTGTTTTTC